GGGGGTGTGACAACAACACACCCAACCCCGCACACGCGGCGGTGGGTGGGGGGGTTTTTGGGGATTTGAACCCCCCCCCTTAAAGCTGCCAAGGTTAAGAAATATTGGACAAAGGAAAGCCTTAAAAAAAAATTTTTTTTTTTGCACCTGGGCAAAAGCTTTGCCAGTAAACATATCTTTATGGTACAATTTTCCAATCATCTTTTATCACTTTTGTTGCAACCAGGTGCTTTGCTTTTAGATACAGAAACCATGAACTTTCACTATGGAGGGGTGGTATGAGGTTATCCATCTAACATAGATTCTCATGATGGGTTTATTTACTTTGCGAGAGATTCTGAAGATTGCCATTCTTCGTCAGAGTCTTGGTAGACTTCTTCCTCTTATCTACTGGTCTCCATATGAATTGGAGAACTTCCATCACCTTCAGAGAGCAGGCTGGATGGCAGTAGCATGGGGAAAGAGTGGTGACCTCTGTACTAATCTAAGCTTAATAACTCAGCACCTGAATAATATTAGTTGTATGGCATTTATACTACATATCTTCTACAGATATTAATCCCAGATATAAAATGCCTATTTTCTGCACTCCTACCATTTATAGGAAAAGAACTAACCATTTTAATTAATTTTTAAAAATTAAAATCAGTCGTAGAAAGCACTACTAGACTCCTCCTGATTTTTTGCAACCACAAATTAAAGCAGTTGTCTTTGAATAATATTTATATGGTTTCACTTCTGCAAATATTTGGACAAACAACTCCGAAACACAGCAATAAATTCTTTCCTATTCCACATTTTCACACTCTTCTCTTATGTAAAGTATTTAATGTTGCTTATTAAAGCTGTAGGTATTTTTCATGCCCTATGCCACTGTGGGCAACTTGTGGCCTTTAAAATCTGGTCATAATTGTAGAAAACAGCCAAGTCCTATGATTCTGAGAAGGGAAAGACATTGAAACTGTATTGTAAGCACTGAAACAGACATATTCGTTTAAAAAAGCAAATCTTCAAAACAGCCCCCCCAAATGCAGCCTTGTCTACATGTGATGTGATTGACCTACTTTGTAGCTTTCAGTCCCCCAACATATTACATGTGATCCTTGAGTACATATGGTGGTAACAGAGAGTTCCACATATAAAAGAGCATTTATTTTTTTGCATAGTAGAGGGGGCAGGTGGAAGCATAACATTATTTCTAGACTACCAGTACATAATCATATTCACAGTTACAAATAAATTGGTATATATTTAAGCCTAATCTCTCTACTATTTTATGAGACACAAAATAGAAAATAGAAACTTGGCAAAGTGAAGTCTGCTCTAAAGAAGCTAATTAGTGCAAAACTGCCACATTTTGCCTAAGTCTTACAGCACGGCTCCAGACTAGTGAGAGGCTTGACACTGCATACCGTCGGCAAGCCTGTTGTAATTGGGAGTGTAGGAAGAGATTGCCACTCGCAAACAGTCATCCAGATGTTTGTCAGTCATCCGTGTTCTATTCTTTGACTTGATAAATCTCCTTGTTGAGAAGACTGACTCACACTGGTAAGTTGACCCAAAGTAAGACTTTATCTTTGCAGCCGTCTTCCTCAACAAAGGGAATTTTTGGGCATCCACCAGGTTCCAAAAGTTGGCATGGCTCGAGTTAGATTTCAAAATGATATCATTCTGAAGGCCCACAATCTCCATCTCCACCTCTTCTACCATGGCCTGGCACAACTCCCCTATGGCCACGGCTGTCTCTGTGACGTCGATCGGGCTAAATGGATTCTCAAAGAAGGACACCACAGGCTCAATGCTGGTGAACTGTTGGAAGCGCGCATGGAACTGCTCCTCTAAGGTCTCGAGGTAGCCCACAAACGGTGCATTGTTGAAGTCGCTGTCCCCGACCACTTGCTTCATGGAAGGGAAGGGAAGAAGAGATTTCACTTGCAAATGCGACTTCCACAATCTCAGTTTGCCTTTGAATGAGTGGACTGAAGAGATCATTCCAGAAATATGCTTATCGTTTCGATGAAGTTCAATATTCAAACTGTTCAGTTCTTGCATCAAGTCAGCAAGGAAGGCTAAATCTACCAACCAAAATCTATCATCGAGTTGTTCCACGTACTGATCTTTAGTTTTTAAAAATGCCTTGATTTCATCCCTCAGGGTTAAAAACCTGGCAAGGACTTTTCCTTTACTAAGCCACCTAACTTCTGTGTGCAAGATCAGGTCCCCGTATTCAGCATCAACATCCTTCAGGAGGGCTTTAAAAAGCCTGTGCTGCAAGGAGACCGCTCGAATAGAGTTTATTATTTTTGTAACAACATCCATGACATGTTTAAACTGGAGCACTTTGGCGCACAGTGCCTCCTGATGGATAATGCAGTGATACGAAATAAACTTTGGAAAAGATTCATCTTTCTGACAGTGCACAATGAACCCATCCACGCTGCCCACCATGGCCGGAGCCCCATCTGTAGTGATGGAAGAAAGTTTATGAAGAGGGAGGTTTATTTCAGTCGCGTAGTTTTTGAAAGTCAGAAATATGTCCTCGCCTCTCGTTTTCCCTTTCAGAGACAGTATTTTGAGGAGCTCTTCCTTCACGGCAAGGTCACTAAAGACCAGCCTAACTATCATGGCCAACTGGGAAGTATCTGTTATGTCAGTGGACTCATCCAGCTGAAGGGAAAACCAGAGGCATTTCTGCAGATCGCTTTGCAACTGATACTCCAAATCATTCGAAATGGACTGGATTCTTCTAGAAACGGTATTCCCAGACAGCTGAAGCTTTTGTATTGCAGTCATGATTTCTTTTTTATTGGAAAAACCTTCAAAAATCGAGTCGGCCGCTGTCAAAAACACCTCTTTCAACAGCTCTCCGTCCTCAAAAGGTTTGTTTCTTTTAACCAGCAAACTGGCAATTTTAAAAGATGCTATTGTGGTGTTTTTGGACTGAACCACAGGTTTTGTATAGACAGTCAGCTGGGACGCAAATTTAGATTTCATTTCTTTCACCTTCATTTTTCGAAGCTCAGAATCGAGGGGGTAATTTTTGGCAAAAGCACCGTGATTTCTCTCAAAATGCCTCTGGACGTTGTGTTTCTTTGCAACCGCAACCGTGGACGAGCAGATTAAGCACACCGATTTGCCATTCACATCCATAAAACAGTATCGTTCTTCCCATTCTTTATGGAAGAGATACGTCCTTTGTCTTTTACGGGCCGGCTCGCTTATTTTAGCAACTAGGAATAAGGTGAAAAATAAAGCGCCATGATAGTTCAGTGCCTTCTCATAAGGAAAGATTTAAAAAAAAAATTTTTTTTAATTAGAATCCACAAGCAGATAAGCCTTTGCACAATGCACGATACTCAGCTCTCCGGCTATTGCTGAGAATCACAGCTCCTAGCAGTACCGTCAATAACAAGGACTGCCGGGAGCTGCATTTCAGCCACACCTGGACAGCCAGCTTGTGAATCCCTTCCAGTATCCTAGAAGGCTTACCTGAAAACCAAACATGCTTAATTATGGCTTATCAATGCACGCCAACTACTTGCGTTCAAGAAACCCTAAGCCAAATTCAAGTAATGACATCATCGCTTAGGGCAGCGTTTCTCAACCCTGGCAACTTTAAGCTGTGTGGACTTCAACTCCCAGAATTCCCCAGCCAGAATTCCTGCCAGAATTCCTCAGCTGCTAAGCTGAGCTTGTCGCCCAGCTGTCAGTCTCCGCTGGAGCGTCATCTCCTCTCCTTCGGAGACGTCTCTGCCTACCAGCTTCCTCACCTGGAAGCCAAGCCCTGCCCCTTTTGTGCCACATGTGTAAAAAAAGGGGCCTGACTTCATTCATAAAGGGACAGCTGCCATCTTGCCTTTTTAACCCCCCTGAGCCACCTATGGCATTCCTCGCTCAGTAAAACAAACATTAAAGGGAACTCTAAGCACATACATGCTTTCTCCCCGAGGGAATTTTAAACATCTTTTTAAAACTTAAATAAGGAATGACCCAGCATTTGGCACTTACTGTTTATTTTCTCTATTTTTTCTTGGACCGCATTTTGATGGAAGTCACTGCTCTGGGAAGCAGAAGACTCACTCAGCTCCATCATCCTTTTCCGATTTGGTACAGACTTCCTCCTCTGTTTCTCCCTCTTTTTAATGCCATCTCCTTCTGACAGTCCCACAGGTGGCTCCCCTTTCCGCTCGGCTGCCCACTTATCGCCTTCTGCAGTGAATACAGGAAGCTGGTAAAAGCCTTTTTGGGAAATGGAGGCACTAACCAAATCCAGTTAACACAAGCTGTCTTATTTGGTTTGGATAGAAAAGAAGTGTTATTCCCCTTGCTGAGATTTTCTAAAGGAAAGGTAAGATGCATCAATGTATACAAGTTGATAAAATCTGCTGGACCAGAAAAAAGAAGGAGGAGGAGGAGGAAGAGGAAGTGGAAGACGAGGAGGAGGAGAAGAAACAGTAAAAAAAAACCTGAATAAAAGACAAAACATATACTCAGCTTGTTGTTATTTGCTCACAGAAAGACTCAATTTCCCACAAAATAGTTTTAAAATGGGAGGATTATTACATCTGCAAAGAACACGGTAGTGGGTAATGGGTGCTGATGCTGTTTTTGGGGAAGGTCATGTTACATTCAGGATTGCCTTCCACTTTGGTAGAAACAGCATCATTTTGTAACAGGAGAAAGAGGGAGGCTTACCAAAAGCAGCCATCAGTCCACAACCTTGCTCCACAGCTTGCTTGGGGAAGCCTTTCTGGTCAGGATCTGGCAGAATCCCTTCTTTCTCTGTGACCTGGACGGCCACATCCTCAGTAGCCACTGTGCCCTGGAAAGAAGATGACAGAAAGTTGAGTCACCAGCAAAGCTCAAATGGCTAGTTCAGGGATGGGGTGAAAGATCAAGATTTAGGATCCAAACCTCTGCAGAGAACTAGACAAGGCCTTCCTAACACACACCTTCACCAAAGAAAAGGACAGGTTTGTTCAAAGGCGGGGAGGTGAGCAAGGACAGACGCAGTCAATCTGCAATTCTCTCTCTTTCCCATACCTGTGCCTGTTGCGCAGCTGTTGCGTCCCCTCCGCCACAAAGAAGGGATGTTGACTGGGCACGTATTACTGACATCATTCCATCTCCTGGAAGGAACCAAAGATAATACGTGTCTAAGTGTGCAGAGCTGCTGTCCCACACACTCTGTTGAATTTTAGGAGAGCTGTAAACATCCGGCTTTTTAAGAGAACCCAGGGATGGGGGCCATTTGGTATAATTTGAGAGCCTCCATCTTGTGCTTGGCATGGATGTTCATTGTTCCTCAATGGCCATAGTCTTCTTTGTAACTGTGGTGGTAGAGGGCTGTTGTTAGTTTGCTCTTTTGTGATATTTGTTAATATTGCTTTTCTTCTGACTAAAAGAAGGGGCAGTAAACCAAAGCCCTGGTTTACTGCAAATGAATATATAAATTAATCTATTTACTGAATGCAATCTTCCTCAGTCCAGTGTTTTCAAATGTCTGGAGCTACAGTTCCTATTATCTCCCACCTAGCATGGCTAGAAGTGATGGGAATTGTACCCCACTGAATTTGGAAGACACCAGACTGGCAAATATCTGCTTCATATTATTTTTATGGCTTCATCCTCTACTGCATGAAAAGGTATCCCTTACGGGGAACGCTGCTATTATTTTATCTGCCATGAAGACATATCTCCCTACTTGCACCTTAGTCACCAATCAAGGTGCTGATTATTTGTGTGTAAAAAAAAAAGAAAGGGGGGGACTACCTGTTCCTGAACTCCAACAGTCTTTACCAATGGGGCCAATGTTGAGGGATGATGGGGAGATGCGGATCAAAACATCTAAAGAAGCACATACTTGACGTTGAAAATAAGCCCATCTTTGAACTCTGGAAAACGACTGGAGATCTATCTTCACCTTGGAAGACCTGTAAAAGTAGATTTCTAGGATCATCAGAAGAGAGACAACAAGTGAAAAAGCCACCTATTCTTCCTCACCTTGTAGGATGGACGTTCCATCCCCTTCTTGTTTCATCCACCTTCGTAGGGCGCTCTGTCGAGCATCTGAGGAAGTCTTGAATGGTTCGGGAAAATTGGGGCCCGACTCTGCATACTGAACAGCAAAGAGGATCCAGACATAGAATGAAGAGGGTGAAACAGTTAGGACCCCCACCCCACCACACATACACACACAGAAAGGTGACCAGAAAGTGCTGAGCAATTTAGAGAACATTCCCTTGGATCAGGACCAAAAATTTTACCTGCTGCTCTTCTTGTTTCTTGTCCTCTGCCTGAGTCAAGAGGAAGATTTCAGCCAGGGCCACAGCCTGGGAGCTGGTCTCTGCTCCACATTCCCGGACCCACCTCTGCATCTCCGGAGGAATGACAGCCAGGAACTGCTCCAGGATTAGCATGTCCAGAATCTGGTTCTTTGTGTGTTGTTCAGGTCTGAGCCACTGGTGGCAGAGATCATGGAGCTTCTTGCAAACTTCTCGGGGGCCCTTGGCGTCCTGGTAGTGGAACTGCCGGAAATGCTGGTGATGTACCTCTGGGCGAAGCTCCCAGTTTTCCCCACTGCTCTCTGACTTGATGGTCTCAGGGCCCCTTTCAGCTTCTGGGCCGGCTGCATTTTGCTCATCCATCTTTGAGATGTTCTCCCAAAACTTCCCCCTCCTAGGCTGCCAATTTCGTCACAGGGGCAATGATGGTTCTGATTGGTGACTGCTACCAAGTTCTGCAAAGCCAAGACCACATACTGTCATTGCAAAATGATTATTCTTCCAGGACGGGAAGCATTTTCCCAGCTAAGGTTGGGTGGCTATCAGAGAATGAAAGGAAATCCCTGCTGAATTAGCCTCCCTTTTGTCATCAATTTCTATCTTTTCATTTATTTATTAGGTAGGTCATACGGCACTCATTTCCAGGGATTCCAAGTGGTCTTTTAAATGCATTTTAAGTAACAGATTAAATAAAATTACTGACAAATATATAAAATATATCCAGGAGGCAGTGAAACAGAAAAACATAGAACCGTAAAAGAAGACCAATACTGCAGTTACCGTGTATACTCACAGATAAGTGGACCCTCACATTTTTAACCAAAATACCATGAAAAATACGCCACAGAAAAACTGACCCTTGACATTTTTGTATGTTTTTCAATATATTCTGAAGGCATTGGGTATGTTTGTGAGACAGGCTACGCCTCCCCAGCTAAGCCATACAGGTTAATGAGATGCTAGTCAGGCTAAACCATGGTTTGCTGAGCATGTCAAAAAGGGGTGTGCTCCAGTATGCCGGGCACCCTGGTTTACAAACCACGATAGTTGCACTCCCATGCTGAGCCAAGAGATTTGCATGGGGTGTGAACCCAGCCTCTTTGGGGGAAAGCTCCAATCCACTTCACTTAAGGATGGATCCTCCCAAACACGGTCACTTTCCTCCAGTACCGACAATCAAATAAGTTGCCCCAGCAGAAGAGCTCCAAAAAGGATGGAAACACAGCCCCCCGCCCCATACAAAAAGACTTTCCCTCTTGGGTGTCTCATCTTCAACGGAACATTTGCTGTTTAAAGAGAGCAGAGAGGGGACAGCTGGGGGGAGGCTGCAAGGCCCGAGGCAAGGGGGCGCCACCCCCCACGCGTGGCAGGGGGAGAGAAGGGTCCCCAGCCTCCATGCATTGTTCCTCCCCGCTGAGCAATCCCTGGCTGCGGAGGGCCCCCGGCTTTGCAGGAAGAAGGGAGGAAGGGCCGGGACCGGAGAAGGGGAGCGAAGAGACCCCTCCCCACCAGCAGATCCCGCCCTGCCCTTTTTGTTTTCCTTCTTTGTAAGGGGCGGGGGGGGGGTGGGCCCGTGCCATTCTCCTCCCCCCCCCCCCCCCCCCCC